TCAATCGTTTTCGGGTCACGTGGTCTCCAGGCCGTTTGTCTCAGATAATACGTTCCCGAAATCATTTGACCGTGAAGGCCTGGAAGAAAGCGTCGCAGGAACTAGTCAAAGTAAATTGCTTCTAGCCGCTTCATACTACGAAAACTGGAGTTAATGAGCCTTTTATACCGGCCCGAGGTAAAAAAAATATAGGTGTAGTCTAAATAGTATTTCAAAACTTGAGTGCTAGTTATTTTAATTCGATTACAGTTTTACTGCTAAGAGTTTTATAAACATGAAACGCCTGCAGTTTCAAACTTTGCCGGACCGCGATTTGTCCGCGACCGAGAATGTATGACCACAGTAATGATACGGTTTTACTGCAGGCTGGCGTCAATATAACTGTGATGAACTGTGGTATAACTGATAACTTCGATGTGACTGCCATTGAAGTGCAGTATGACTTTGCCATAACTGCGATATTATTACACTTAAAAAATGCTTAAAGACCGCGCTATAACAGCGTTGAGTCTGCGTTATACCTGCGGTGCGTTTGTAATGTTCGATACTACAACTTTTACCACTTAAGAGACCACTTAAGATGAACGTCAATTATACTCCTACTGATATACTAAAAACACTGTTAATAGCATGGTGCAAAACGAGGAAAGATCTCCTTTTACAACTACTTAATTCCACTGGTGTTAACCGACTTAACATAACAGCCATTCGAACGGAATTAAGATCGATCTCCTCACTTGACCAGAGTTATTTAAAGACCTGAATCAGCTTGGGATGCCTGTGGAATATCAACAGCAAGAAGTGTTATTACATGAGGATCTAGCTAGAGCGACATTACATTGCAGTTCAGAATTCGTCATTGATTAGAACTTTGGCTGTTTATCATTTATCTATCACGGTTTAGGCTCGAAGGTGCATTCCACATCGCTTGAGGAACACGTTGAAAGATTACAGATAACGAGTTTGGGGAAATTTACTTTATATGTTTAAATAACTAATAGAAAATTGAGCGAAAATCAGTGATTTTCCCCCTACCCTTTGCATTGCTCCTTCCACCAACCCACCCATCCCCCGAAAAGTAAATTGTCCAATCAAACAACCCAACGTTGAACTGACAGAGGCGCACAGGGAAAACATTAAAATCACATTGTACATCTTTATAAATACCATAGTGTTCCAAATATATAAGCCTGGATTATAGTTCATTTAAATACCTTAACTGGTGTATTTTCGGGCTGTAACCCCGGGTTGTCGTAGAACGTTCGCCTTGTTCCCGAGGGAAACGGGTCTGGATAGTCGTATTCCCCACTCGTGCGGAGCTCCGGGTCCAGGCTCCCGTACATTGGCGCGGGATTGAGCTCATAAGAACCCGTTCTTGTCTTCTTTTCCTTCTCGTTTTCAGGGAAATGTATGTCTGAATGAACGGAGCGTGAGGTAAAGCGATTTGTCACGTTAGGTTCCTCCATGTCTGCTTTGTAACGCCTGGGATTATGAGAATATGGTTTGTTAGCTAGTGTGCACGCCCACTATGAAAAGAGCCTAAGAATAAACAAGACAATGAAGCAAGACTGATAAAAAAAAAACTACAAAAATAAAAAAATGAATACATACCGTAAACTGCCGCTTAAAAGCCCTGGGCTTACTCAAGTTTGTAAGGGTTTTTTAGTTGGGCTTATAAACGGAGGGGCTTATATCCGAGGGGGCTCATAACCCGAACAAGAAAATAGGTTCGAAACGAACTATAGCTTTGTTGATTGAAACAGGTTTTTCATCTACTGGTTTTTAATTAAGCTTTCAAAAAATCATAATAAAACGAATTCAAAACAAGGAAAGCTAGAGGGGAGTTATATCCGGGTGACTTATAACCGGATTTATTATTTTTTTGGTTTACGAGTAAACGAGCGTATAACCGGGGAATGTTTATAAGCGACAGTTTACGGTATATAAATACAAAATAAAACAATTTTGTATATTCCTATCAAGTCCTATTTCAGTTTCCCTTCCATAAACCAAAGATTTTGTTTTTGAGGAATTGAATATCGTTTTTCTACTCTTTGGTCATTAAATATTTAACAATGAGATTATGAGCTCAACACGATCTGTAAAGGAAAATAAACGTAATGCTTCATTATTTTACTGACACCTAACTATGCGGCATATTCTGACAAAAGTTTTTAATGATTGTATCATAGACCTTATCATGGTGTTGGAAGCCTTCTTGACATTGACGCGACAAACGTCAAAAATTACAGTTTTTATATTGGAATCCGACGGCAAATAATTTTCTTAACATTCGAATTCTAAACAATTTATGACTAGCAAAGTTAAGATACAAACAATTGTGCTAGAAAGAGTCCAATCACGTTTTTATTTTCCATACACTTGTCCCCGGTTTTCTCCCGCGAAGTGGCCTAAAGTAGTAAACTAAATCATAGAAAAATGTATAGAAAATTATAGACGCGACTGGACGCTTAAATCTCCCTTAAACTTGGTAAACGCAATCTTTTCTCAAGTATCTTTACCAACACAGGTGTGTTTTGCCTGTATCTTTCTGTAGTATCGATTCATAAATTTGAAGATATTGAAGGGGCACAGCCAGGATAAAACATGGCAAAAATTTAAAACGATCTCTGGCTGAAACGATGACAAGCTTTCGACTTTATTCAATTTTTTTCTTTTTCTTCGTTTCTTGTCATTCACATTTTACCCGTCGAAGACTGTAGTTTAGGCATTCGAAAGCTTGTATTTTTGTAATCATTTCAGCCAGAGATCGTTTTAGATTTTTACCACGATTCATAAATTGTTCAGAATTTAGCTTCATATAGTTTTTTGGGTGCCCTGCTACCTATATTCTGGGCCGAATACATCATATATAAATACTTTCTTTTCCCATTGTCATTGTTGTTGTTGTTGTTGTTGTTGTTTTTGTTGTTGTTGTTGTTGTTGTTGTTGCTGTTGTTGTATAGTTGTTGCACTGAAGTTTGACCAACTTACTTTCCTCGCGTGACGCAACATAAAACAATCAAGATGAGAAGAACAATAGCGCCGAAAACACAGCCAAGTATTATAGCCAATCTCTTGTTATTGCCGTCATCTGGNTTTTTTTTTTTTTTTTTTTTTTGAAGAATATTGCATATCTTACTTGTAAACCAGGTGATAACTAGACATCAAGTAATACATTAACCCTAAACTGAAATAGGCAAGAGGTACCTTCGTCCGCAGGTTTCGGAACAGGATCTGAAAAGTAAAATAAACGTAATATTTCATTATTTTGTCAAGTTTGTTATTTTACTTATTTAGGCAAAAGATACAAATGTCAGTAAGTTTAAAAACATAGTTTGAAAGGTAAAATTCTATTTTCATCTAGGGGGAGTAGAATACTTCTCAATGCTTCATCCCGCTGGAACCCAGCGGTAGAAGCCCCGGCGTTATGGGTCTTTTCGGTTCGATGCAGTTATACCTATTTTACCTTCAACTATTATCAACTGCTACCTGTTATTAACCTTAACAAACTATTATTTTAAGTCGTAGGTACTTTCGTGTCGAAGGGAATGCGTCTTACCGCAGGTCGTCGTTCCGTCGCCTTGGTAACCGTCCTTACATTTGCATTCAAATGATCCATCTGTGTTGTGGCACGTGGCGTCCTTGTGACAGTTATGTGTTTCTGTGTCATCACACTCATTAAAATCTGATTGCAAAGGAGGAAAATTTAACATAAGGAATTGCTTTAAAATACTGTTACTTTATTCAATATTCTGTATAATCGCAGATCACTGGACGAAATGGATTGCTTAAATTTGTCTCGTGTAAAAATGAAGTGAATGTTTCAAAATGAAGAGGTAATTGGGAATCAAAGACCGTAAATTGCCGCTTTTGCCACACCATTTACTACCTTATGTAAATGGTGTCCCAAATACGGCATTTACCATGTTTGCCACACATTTATCTCCTTTTTTTAACATTTGCATCATATTTACGCCAACGCGATTTAATTAGAAGACAAAGCCTCATTTTATAAGTTTAATTTTTGGCATCGTTCAGTCTAAAATGTGCTGCACAGTGTACAAAGTATGCCATTTTCTTTCATATTTCTGTAAGTTTGTAGTATTGGAAAAATAGTCCTTTTTATCTATTGACTCGAAAACTTTCTAATCTCCGATAATCTTCGTTAAGGAGCACTAAGGATGATGGGTATGTTGCGGAGTCTACTTTGGTACTTTCTCCAGGTTTCCGCCGCTTTCTTAGCAGCACCCGCCTCTAAGTAATTTTTCAAACGCAAATGCATTTTCGCAAAACGTCTTCCCATCTCTTTTTGCACCCTTTCCTTCTGCACTCCCCCCCCCCCCTTTTCCCCAAAGCAAAACGAAGATTTCTTCTGAAATCAAATCTTGAGTCACTAAAATACGTACCTTTTATTTGAGCGCTTTGAGGATCGTAAGTTAAATTTCCCATCTCTCCTGAATCCGGAAGCTCGCTGTTTAATGTTTCAGGAGTTACATCTGTGGCGTTTTCGGCAAAATTGAGGTCTACATCCGCAATCACGCTTCCTCGCCTAAGAAATACACAGAATAAAAACTTAATAATCTGAACTTGTAAGCAAAAACCAGTATAATTTGAATGAGTGACGTTTCGTACCGGAACAACCGGACTATGGCTCGTAAAAATCCTCTTTTGCTTCGGTAGAACGCATTAATCTGGAAAAAAAAAAAGTATAGATAACTAGAGGTCATAATTGTTTAACAAAACTGCTCTAGCGTACTTAAAATTTTAATTAACAAATATTTTAACTAATATGTCAAGTTTCAAGCTAGCCTAGTAGGCTTACAGTAATAGACGCAACTATGGTAATCTTGAAGGGTAGGCAACCGAAGGGTAGCCAACACCGCCTGAAATTTCAGTGTTTGTATGGGAAATTGAATTTCAATTCTGAACAATTTATGAAAAGCACAGTTACGGTACTAGATAAATGAAATTTTCGGGATGTAGCGGTGCTGGAAAGCGTCTAGTTTGGTTTTTAATTTTCTCTAGAATGATCTATGATTTTTTCGCGAAGTGGCGTGCATTTTTAGGCCGCTTACTCGTTTCAGACATTAGATTTCGTCACTGTGAGTCCGTTGCTCCTTTTGTTTCCTTCAAGTTGCTTCATGACCTTGGTCTGTCGCTCATTCGTTCGTCAGAATTATCAGTTCCCCTGATTCGTTCGTCAAGGCCCTACGTGCTTTGAAACGACTGTTAAAGTTCTCCGGTTGGGGAATCGATAGAGTTGGAGAGCACTACCTACAGGCTTCTCTCTGTATTGTGTTATTTTCTCACCTGTCTTTCGATTTCTCTGGCCAACAAACCAAACACCGCAGAGGTTTTGTTAAGTAGCAATGGTTCCCATTCAACTACTTTGCCGTTCAAACTCGATAGTGTTAGAACAATGGCAAAGACACGTGCACCTGTTAAAACAAAAACAGTTACATAAAGAATATTTGTACGATTCAGACCTTTAATTACCCTGTTCGGGAAGGGCGGAGGCCGCCCTTATGGACTTTACAGTCTACAGCGCTTTCAATATTTACCTAAAAGCTGTCAAACTTTGTGACTTTATAAGTGTTTAAGAAATTTGGGATGGCATGACATTACACTCAGGACTCGATGTTTCCTTGATAGCACTATTTTGACAAGCTGTTTTTCAAATTTGGAGTTTTCTTGATTTAATTGAAAATCTTCAGGTCTTCAGGTCTTTTTTTGCATTTTTTTACTGATTTGTATTACTTTGGAGTCATTTTTGGTGGTTTTCTGACACGGATAAAAACTAATAAACCCAAGATATCAAGTGAATCCAAGATGGCGGATATCTTGCATACTTCAAAAGAAACATTAAATTATATCTACCATATGCCTTCTTAGGTTTATTCTCACTGCTTTACCATTTTGAAAATTACGGGGGTAGATTCCGTATCCTCCCCCTTGTCGTAGAAGATCGTTTCATGATTTTCTCTCTGCCGTTAGAGATTTTGAAAATACTCAAAGAAAGTTGTTCTCACCTCGACATTTTCCCTCAGAATAAAATGTTGGTACTGGGCATAAGCACTGGAATGATCCAGGGATATTGTCACATAATCCATCACTACACGGTGACAATTGACACTCATCAATGTCTGAAACGTGACAGTAACATTGCGTTAGTTAATTTATCATCACAACAGGTATGACTTGCGTGACTCGTTACATTTTCGGATTTTCTCGTTTTGTATAAAGGGCAGTCACCACCCAGCTAGTTAAATCCAAAAAAAAATTAGGGCGCAACTTTACGTGAAGGTAGACGTGCGATCAGCAGTTCTATGATCTGTTACCGAATCTTGATGCCATTTATTTAAAGAGCCTCTTTCGTTCAAAAACAAAACTCGAGAGATATGCATCAAGTGGTACCGTAGTTTTTGTTAGGCCATTGTCGGAGCAATTAGCCAAACTAGGGCAATGTGCAGTAATTGTAACAGAGTGAAACTAGTTACCGTGTTTTACATCTTTTCGTGTCGTTTCACCTGTCGATTCCATGTAAATTAACAAAAAATGGTAAATGTTGTCTTTCCAATTAAACGTGACCTTCTGAAAATCGCGAAAATTGATACCCAGCAAGACAAACCAGTGTTTCACAATCGTAAAAATGAGTTTCCGCAAAATATAAAAAATTGCCGATCCGTAAAATTAAAATCTTGCAATTAAAGTCTCGTGTCACACGGTAATAAAGAAACAAAAAAGAGGGTCAAGACGTCATGTTAATGTATGCGTCTGTCCTCCAGTAGATCATAAGTAAGAACCAATCAAAATGCGGGAATAATTTTTCATCCTATTATGGAAAAGCAGATCGATCATAATAACATTACCTGCACAGCTTTCGTTGTCTTGCTGAAGAAGGAATCCCTCTTCTCATGAACACTGGAATGATCCCTCTGTGTTCTCACACACCTGGCTACAATTGTCGACGCCGAAAGCCAGGTCACATTCGTCGAAGTCTGCAGAGAAATCAGAAAATGAGAATTTAATTTAAAACAAGTAACAAAAGTGCAACCTAAGGTAATCTGTTTAAACGATAAAAGTGCATTATTATAGGAATTATGTTGCGATAGAGATGTTGGAATTTAATATATAATTAGCCATTTGTTACGATGTCCATAATAATCTTCATTTGAATCAAAACTCGAATCGTGATATTTAGCACTGCTGTGCTAACTGGAAGCATTATAAAATAAAAAACAAATTTTGTAAATAGAACTAAACACTTGTTAAAAACCCAACTGGTTGGAGGCTAACTAGTTGTACAAGACGTGGAGGAGTGGATTCGGGACCACCAAACACGGATCCGTCTAGTGGTAGGGAAGAGGATTTGAAGCGGGACTTTCCACAAATTCCAGAAAATAACACCGGAGGTAGCAGTTAGCAAAAATCCAACAAGAACAGTTAAAACTGAGGAAAACTAAAATAAGTTATATGCGCTCAGCTATAGGATAAATGTCCCAAGATGCAACACGAGTGACATCTTTACCTTTGCAAGTCTTTCCATCAACGGCTAAGGCATATCCCGGATTGCAACTGCACGTGAAGCTACCGTTATTATTCACGCATTTATGCTCACAGCCATGGTTACCGGTCATACATTCATTGATGTCTGGTAATTAAAATGAAACATTCATTCATCAATTGCTACATATAAACACGTGTCTTAGCTCGCGTGTATGGATATTACGACGTGACGTAACAACATTAAATAAAAAAATATCTCAAGGGCAATGGCAACGTACGCCTAACCCTGTAAGTGAAGCAAAAGCAGACTTGCTTACCACTTATGCAATATCAATCGCAGCCGATGGCTTTAAATTGTATATCAATAATGGCGCTTAACAACTGCCATTCTGGCTATTTAATAAATCCTAGTACAGCATATAATGGCGCAATTACACTCCCGTTGCCGAAAAAGAGGAAATTCAACTCTTAGTTCATACGGGAAAGAACTCTTAGTTCATAAGGGAAAGCTTGTTCCTCGGGTTTAAACTTCTTTACCGACTTTTTTCCTCTCGGAGGAGCAATTTTAAAAGTAAACAGCACTTTAATCTTCTTGACTACTTGATTCGCCTATTGCCTACATATTTCAACACAAGGCTGCGTTTCGAAGTTGCTGAAGTGTCTGGGCAAATGTGAATGAGAAATTATGCGTATTTTCAGAAAAGGCACAGAGTCACATTACCTATACACGTTTTCCCGTCATCTGTAAGGTTGTAACCGGAATTGCAATAACACGTGATTTCTCCTGTTCTGTTGACGCAAACATCGGAACAGCCACCGTTTGTCTCGTCACACTCGCTACCTTCCGCCACTATAAAGAAAAGAAATATGAAATTTGACACAACAAATGATACTGTACATGTAGGTCGATCAAAAATCTCTTTAACGAATGTTTAGCAATTTTTGCAAGAGTTGAATCAATAGGACCTTTATAGATTCTGGCTAATAGGAGGACAGTTACAAGATTTCAATATTTGCAAGATTTTATGCGGGGTGAACCAGAGTGTTATTTTGGCGTGAAGAAAGCGCGGTAGTCGCAGAAATTTTACTTTTTGCACCGTAGTCACAGATTATGTTGCTTATGGAGAGCGAAAGAACGTTTAAATATTTAAGATATATAATCTTTCTTTGTTTTACAATATTAACTTGCCATCAAATCTTGCCAAAATAGAACTCAGGTCTTAAAAAGGTCTATAATGACATAACTACTTTGCAAACGTTTGAAACAAAATCATTTTTTTGTCGGACATCTTTAGAAAAGTTCTCTGTTACCTTTACATGTGACGTTATCTGCATTCAGTTCAAAGCCGGGGGGACACCTACACAGGTAGGTACCAATTCGATTGTCGCAGATACGTTCGCAATCATGGTTGCCTTGACACTCATCTATGTCTGAGATCCAAAATAACAGTACATGGTTAATAAATTTGCAATCGCAATATCATATTGTTAGGAAAATATACTTCTGATGATGATGCGAAATAAAACCACTTAATGGGGAGACTTTAACATAAAAGATTAAAATAACAAGATCTAATATTCTGTTTGAAAAGGTAATCAAAGATATTTACAACATAAAAATATAAATGACAAAAAATGCATAAGATATATAAGATAAAAATATATAAAAGACATTAAGAAGCACATAAAGTGCAATCACTGCCACAACTATCAGCCAAACTTTCCAAGCAAGTTTGCGAATGTTTTTCTTAAAAGCTGACAATGTCGGTGAACTTCTAATATTCCTTGCTATAAGATTCCATAACTTAGGCCCAGTATATCTAATAGTGTGTTTCCAATATTTTAATGTATTAAATCTAGTGTCATCCTGGAAGTGACTTAAAGGACAAATCGAATTTCTTCTTCTAATTCTCTTCAGAGAAGCTTCAATTTATATTCAAAATTCCGCCGGGAATATTATACTCGTTTGAGTGTCATTCTTCTTTGTATTCTACTGAATAGTAGGGTTACATTCAACTCGTGCGTCGGACGTTCCATTTTGAATTTTATTTCACGTGTTTTAGAAGGAAACGACGAGCGATCGCAAGTGAGTTTCAACAACAACAACCAACCATTTTATTTTGCTGAATTTGCAAAAAAGAGAAACAACAGCAAAAAAATAATTAATTTCATTAAGCAAAATAAACTACCCAGATGGCAAGAAAACTTAACAAGCTGAGAAGAGAAAAAAATAACATGCTTTACCTTGGTTGCAACATGTACTATCAAAGAGAGAGAGAGAGGGAAAAAAAGGAGAACACACCCAAAAAAAAGGTACATGCAAATAGTTAAGCAAATGAAAAAAGAAAAGAAGAAGCAGAATATGGACTTAGTACCTTCACAGGTTGCCATGTTGTTATCAAGTTGGAATCCATTTTTACATGAACATTCAAAAGAGCCTGGTGTGTTAAGACAGTTCTGAGAACACGTCGCTATTCCATTGGTACATTCATCGATATCTACAGGAAAAATAATTAAACAGGGTCAGGTATTACATCAAAATAAACTGATTCATTCAATCTTCTTTTCATTCATTCTACTATTCTTTATTTCTTTCTTTCAACTTGTCAATTCATTCGATTTATCCATTCATTCAATCATTCCATGATATTTCATCCTATATATCTTTCAATTCTTTCAATTTATCGATTCATACGATTTATTCGTTCATTCTTCCATTCTTTATTTCTATCTTTCAATAGGCCATGTTTGCATTCTCTTCAGTCAGTCGCTCCTTCATTCATTTTGCCTTAAAACAAACAAACAAACAAACGTTTGAAGGTTCACGCCCTCCGTGCTGTTTACCTGTGCAGTCTGTGTACGGATCACCTTCGAACCCAAGGTCGCACGTGCAGTTAAATGAACCTGGCAAGTTTGTGCAGAACGCATTCTCCGTGCAGTTATGCCGCGTGTTGACATCCTGGCATTCATTTATTTCTGAAAAGTAACACTGACCGTTAATCCTCCACAAAATTTACGTTTTTAAAAAAGTTAGAGAAGGAGTAAGATAGGAAAAAAGATTAAATTCGGGTCCAAAAGAATCTGAGTAAGAGCACGGTTGTTTCTGTCGCATAATTTACCCCGTACCAACTCCAAGTTGACAAACGGCTCGTCCACACCGCGCCAGAGAAATTTGAAAACGGCGTTTTCACTCTGAAAACCCGTCAAATGCTTTCCGTTCACACTACGCCGGAGAAATTTGAAAGCGCAACAATCACTGGTCATTTTGGATTTGTGTTTAAGGTCAGGGAAATCAATTGAATATCGTTTCCAAAATGCTATTCGTCCACACTAAAACGCCAGCGTTTTCAAATTCCTTTCGGTCTGAAGAGCGCTTTCGAAAAGCTCCGTTTTCGTTACGGATTAGTGTCGGACGGTAGACCTAACCGTATGAAAAAAAGCTGCGTTTTCAAATTTCTCCGGCGTAATGTGGACGGGCTTAAGTGTTTCACTTCCCAACAGTTTCTTCAGAAACTGGTACCTTAGCCCGATCTATGCCAAGCTAACTAACAAAATCTATTTCCAAAACGTAAATGATACCTTCGCAGATTCTGCCTTCCTCGCGGGAAATGTACCCTTGATCGCACTCACAACTGAAGCTACCAAACGAGTTCTCACAGGTCTGATTACAGAGGCTGACATTTGGACTAGCACACTCATCAAATTCTGAGAAATACAAAAAAGTGCAATCAATACACTCTTATATTAGCATACTCAACGAATTATGACCAAAAAAAACACAGTAGTGTATTAAAACTTTGCTAGAAAGCGACCACTTCCTGTTATTCCTCATAGTAATTACAGCATCGAGCTAGGGGGAAGAGAAAAACGCGGGGAAAAATCCTCAATCACGGGACTCCCTCGTCCATTTTTTCACTCCCTTCTGCATCGGCAATCTTTTTTCGGCCGTTAGTTCTCTGGCATAGGAGGTAATCCTTAAAGAAGGTATGTCGCATTTCGCGCATACGTACGTCTTGAGAAAACTGCCATTTGAGGTTCCAGTGAAGATATTTTGTATACCTTCAAAATTGACTGAAATCCTCAATCCTTAGTAATTTTTAAATTCTCGTAACCTAAATACTTGACTGGGCATGGATGTGTTTTGGAGAAATGATATGTCAATCATTGCTGCAGGATTTACAAGCTAGACAACTCTTACCATAGCAGTTTTCTCCATCACCGGTTAGTCCCTCGGGACATGGCCCGCATTGGAATCCGAACGGGTTCCTTGTGGTATTACATGTCACGTTATCGAAGCATGGATCATCTGCGCATGCGTCAGGTATTTCGGTCTCGCAGAACGTGCCTTCGTAGCCATCGCTGCAATTGCATCCCACGACACGGAAAGCTCCACTGTTATCTCCCACAAACTCCGTAAAGTCACATTCTCCATCGTTCTCACACTTGCACATGTTAATGACAACGGAAAGAACCGAAGAGTCGTTTTTAGAGTCTGTCGCCACGAACTCTAGAGTAACATTGGAGGCATTCACAGGTCTCCACACGAAGTGGGCCATGTTATTAAGTTTGGAAAAGTTGAACATTGCTCCTGCTGGCAGATCGTCAATTTCTATTGTTATCGTGTCGTTGTCAGCATCCAAAGCTTCGATGGAAAATTCTGTTTCTTGGTTCAGAGTGACGTTGATTTCTGTCGGTCCCTTGATTTCTGGAGGCGTGTTTCCTAATTAAAAGAAATTATCAGCCACTTTTTAAGTAGTACTAGCAATTCATACGCCGGCAATCAAAATATTAACTACTGTTAGAAAAACAAACAGTAACTGTTGTCACTTATGACTCTTAAGTTTTGAAATACGTATGTGTTTAAGGGCAGAGAATGTCTATCACTGATCAAACCACTGGAAGCAGTATTAACGGCAGAACATTAATTACAATATTATAGAGGGAATCACATCAGCCTTAGTTGGTTTTAATGCGGGTCCTTTATCCTGGTCGAATTGGAATTTGAAGATGTTGGTTTTTGTGGAGGGAGGAAAAACAAAGAACCCGGAGAAAAACCCTCGGAGCATGGGGAAAACCAACAAAAAACTCAACCCACATATGGCACCGGGCCGGAATCAAACCTGGGTCACATTGGTGGGAGGCAAGCGCTCTCACTACTGCGCCATCCCTGCTCCCCAAGATATCGATGGAAGACGTCAATCGTGACTATTACCATCAGGCCATCAGTGGAATGAAAAACATAGAAACTGGCCGAAAACAAAACAAGATATGACACGTATGAATCCTGCCATGTAAAGTTTTAATTTTCAGTGAATATGGGGTTTTTTTGGATTTAAAGTGAAATCCTTGAATCTCCTAAACTGAAGTTTTGACATATCCTGAGTGATTTTGACTTTCAATCATGTGGTTTGTACTTTGCTCACGCCATTATCAAAACGTGACTTACAATTAATGTTCTACTTGCTAGGGCCACATTACATACGGGACTCGTATGTTAAGCGTGCAAAATCAATTGCGGGCCAGGTTACTTGGTCTCTTTTCCTTTACTATTAGTTTATACGGTTAAGTGAGTAAGAAGCGTAAATAATGATAATAAATTCCTTTTTACTGAGTCCTTTCTGTGTGCTGCGCCAGTTCGTATGGAAAAGATTGTAGTAATTTACCTAATTCATCTACCGCAGCCTGGTTGTCTTCTTCAAAACCTTTGGTCTGCTCTCCAAGTTCAGTGTTCCCGGTCTGCTGCACATCAAAGATACATTCTCTGTTATCGCCACACAGCGCTTGAATCTCAGGAGTCAAAGCAGACAGATTAAGGAAGGCAGGTATAAATGTATCATCAAAGGACACATTCTGTAGCATACAACTCGATGACACGAACATTCTCTCCTCATACGGGACCTTCCCTGTTGGAAGAATGGAACAAAGGGCGAAGAGTTAGATGATTCTCCAGCTCAATTAAAAATCTTCTTGAATGAAAATGATACCAATTTTTGTGGCCAGGTTATGATGGGGTGTGGAGGTTGTAGGGGTCCTCCAGAATGAACGCAAAGAAGATGCTTGAGGGAAAATTTTAACAAGGAATCCCTTACACTCTTGTCCGAGATGGAATATCTCCTCCTCTGTAGCATTACTTGATATCACCGTCCCATTGGGATACTGTAAGTCGTCCGTCTTGATACCATTAAATGTTCCCAGCAGTCCCTCTGTGTTGTTCATTAGGTCGTCTGGTGCGCTGACACTCAGCTGCAAAAGTCTTATACCAGGGCTCACCTCGATAGAAAAGCCTGACGGGAAGGACACCACTACGGTGTTGTTGTTGACGTCGCTTCTCTCGATCGACATTCCTGTGAAGTCTAGGCCCTCGTCGAAATCCCCAATGGTGTAGTTACGACAGGAGCTGTTTTGAAACGAGACAGTGATGCTAAGGTTACCGGGCACGGAATCGTCGTAGACTATTTGTCCTCTGTCGCTGTCGTTTGTCTTGAAAGCGAAAGCTGAGAATACGGTGGCGTTAGTCAGCTCCCCGTCAGTGTTAAGAGGACGTTCTGTTCTTCCGTGAAAGTGGAGAAAGTTGTCCAGAGAACGAGTCAAGACATACTCTCCACGGCCATTGAAAGTATACTGAAAGCTATCCAGTGTAGAGATGTGAGGATCACCGAAGAACCAGGCTTGAAAGCAAATTTGAGACAAGGCGTTACGTACTATTAACGTTTAAACAGATTTTAAAGCAAGTTGTACAGTAAGTTGCTCTTCCCCCGAAAAAAAATTTAAATAAATCTAACGAATCTTAATCTAACTGACAGTTTCAACTCAATTATTTAGCAATACTCCGTCTCATTTTTTTCGCAACAGCCTAAAAAAACATTAATCTCTTTTTTAATGATATTCACCAGCATCAGCCTCCATTGCAAGCTAGTTCCTATCCAATATATACCAAGAATAAGAATGTGGCCTATTTAGCTTAATTTACCTCTAAAAGGTCTTCGAAATGGTCGCCGGGGACCTCTCCTGAGACCACATGATCGCCCGCGACATCCTCCCGCCAAAAACCGACACCAGCATGGCAGGGCGAACACGATTGCACTGGCAGCTTCGGTCAGCGGTCGCTTCTGGTAGAACAGAGAGCACAACTCGGATTCTCCTTCACTGCAACAAGCTTCAAAAGGTTCAATGTCTCCTGTCTGTCTCTGGGCTTTGTTTTTGTAGTGATACCTGTATTGAATAAGAACGTAGGCCGGAATTAAACATAGTGATCTTCGTCGCTTGATTTTGAGAACGACCGACAACTGTAAAAATTTAAAAATGAAATCTAGGCATTCGAAACGATTAGAGGCAAGTATATATGTCTCAATTTTCGCAATACTGCCATCTGAAGACGTTCGACACGCAATGTTGTCATAATCCTTCGTCCTACTTCGCAACAAAAATGGCAGTACATGGAAACTTTGATCATGAAGAGCATAAAAGAGAAGAAGAAAAGAAACACCCAGTATTCAAATCTGGTAAATAATTATCAACTTCAAAATGATGACAACAACAACAACAAGGTTTATTTGAACTGTAAAATTAACTTAATTAATAAATAATAAATAAATTAAAAATACATGCAGTTGCTGGTCACCCAAAATAACTAAACAGTTAAACTAGTTGTGTGACAACCATTTATTAATTGAAAATATATATAAGATCAGAAAACACCAACTTATGAATATGAGAAGATTTCTGAAACCCCCACAATAAGAATTTAGTTCTTTTGCTCTCTATACATATTCCTATATTCAAACGAACCTGTAAGCTCTACCAGCCTCGGGCGGCTCAGAAACAAACGCGTCCCTGTTTGGTCCACCTTTAAAGTAACAGCACTCGTGACTTGCGCCGTACACACGCGTCGCGAATTTCAGCTCGTAGCAATCAACTTTGGAACCTTTGCTGCCTTTTTTCCTCTCTTTGCTGCTTACTTTCTTGTAACGATTGTCTCGACGAGCAGCCCTCCTACTGGCAGGACAATCATTCAATTCCGCCAGCCAAAAGTCCGGGTCGGGTTCCTCGTTGTACCAGTTCATACACTTCTGTTCGTTTGTAAGTGTAGGTACGTTTGGCGTGTTAAGAGACTTGCAGAAGTAGCCACGTGTCCGCACTCTGCTGTCGTCGTCGACAAATTCTTTGGAGTCGATATGGAAAATGTTTTCCTCGAAGGAGTCGTCATCTTGGTAATGGTACTCCTTGCTCTTGGTAGAGTATCCGACGGCGCACTTTCGTTGAAGTCTTCTGGTCCAATTCATTCCACCGTCTTCGTAGTTGAAGATTACGTAGGAGGCAGTGCCACTTGTAATCAGAACAGCTTGGTAAGTGCTTTGCTGGAAAAAAAGAGAGCAAGTTTTGACTTCCAAAATTCGAACCCCAGTCAACTCGAATTTCCCTAACAAACCAAGAGTTAATTTCCCTCAAATTGCTTCTTACATTTGCTGTTATTTGACTCTCGGTAACTCGAACCTCTCCTTTACTCCAAGTGATGGATTCTTTTTTGTCCCTTCACGATATTTTTTATTAAACGTTTACCCGCTATAACTCGAACCTGACTTGTTAAAACCTGTACCTCAGAGCTCTCTAAAATCAGAGCAAACCGCCTCCCCCTATCCCATCCCCCCTGATGGAACGCTAGAACATCCCAGTGTACCCTCCCTCCAAGATTGAATTCGCCGAAGTCTATATGTACAGCTGGATGGAGACAGACAATACTGGAGCAAAACACGTCACAGTCACTCCGTCCGGGTCACCCAGACCTTTCGATCTGCAATCCAGCGCGGTAATAATTAATCGCAGTGCCATCATGCAACAACGACATTAAACGTTGAGAACTTAATGACTCAGTTAATTATAATCAAATACCTCATGCACATATGGGTTAAAGAAGAAAAATCTGGCGAACGGTGAAACTCTTTCCCATGTTACAACCAACATCCATGTGGCATGAAACTGGTCAATTCCTGTGCAGTTCTTTAGTCGATCTGTGGTATTGTCCAATTGCTGAGATAACACAAATAACATCGGTTACGTTGGTAACTCGTTTGTGCGTCAATTACACTGCGAGCTTAAGGTAATTTTTAATGATTGTTAGTTTAAATCTACCAGCGTTCTATCTTGATTAGCTACGCTACTGACTCTCTCTTCTGTTGTAGATAGTGAGTAGCCTATTAGTGTGCGGTTAATAACAAAATGGCGGCCGCTTCTTTGCGTTTTCAAAGTGTCTGTGAAACGAACTTAGACAAAGTTTTGAACGATTAGTTGATTTATACTAGGACAATAAGATTATTCGCTCTCGTATTCTATGCGTGATAGTTGACTCAGTCTGCGCCCTATAACTCCCTAAATCTCGAACTCATAATCTGATTATTAAATAGAGCGGTCTTCAATTAAGTGTCGTAAAATCAAAACCAAACCAATTACTTACCAATTAGACGACTCAGCCAATCTCAAACCGTAGAAAAAGCAAAACCAAAGTAATTGCCTGATTACTTTCGACACTCAATTGAAAACTGCCCTGTATATAAGAAGCTAGGGGACACATTAATGCAGCCATACACTGAGTAACTATAATAATATGTAAGACTGCTGGAATATACCTCTCGGAACTCGGGCGTGCTACGATCGACGACTTGGTAAGTGATACTGGTGTAGCGTGTGACATCAGTGTTGGCCCAGAAAACAGCAATAACATCCTTCTTCAGATCTTTGAGTTTCTTTGGTTCTGCTCGATAATAGCGCTTCCCAACGGAGATGATTCCATTATGGTAAATCTGAAAACAATTATTAACATGAATTAGAAAGTAGTTCGTATAGTGCGATCATCTGGGTGAGGATAGTTCTGAAAAGAACTGTTGTTGGTGACTGACATTTCGACAACCAGAGCGGAAGTCATCTTCAGAGTCAAGAAGACTCTGACTTGACTCTGAAGATGACTTCCGCTCACCAACAACAGTTCTTTTCAGAACTACCCTCACCCGGACGATCACACTATACGAACTACTGATAATCCTGGGTTAAAACCATTTACTGTGAATTAAAAAGAGAAATTTTTTCACCAGCGACGTGACGAGCCTACATACGCGCTCATTCAATCCTCTGTTTTGCCTCGGGAAATCTTCGTAGTTATTCGGCAATCTTCGGAAGCCATTGTAGTATGGGAATTTTAAATCTAAAAAGTGGTCTTCGAAGTGAAATTCAAGTGCGTTGAGGTAACATCAAACAGTATTTAAAATTAGATATACAACTATAAATCACGTATTTCGAGGAGGTGGAGACAATGAAATTGATAGAGTTTAAAAAACAGTCAGTGGTGAGAATTTTAATCATCTAGAAATTTGTTTGATTGGAAGGTCGTTGTGTGGAGGATTCACATTTAACAAGTAGGCTTGTAAAAGACTTGAGCTTATGCTAGTTGAATAACAAAATCAGCGATACAAAACAGAGATCACGAAACAAATGTAACAAGAATTGCACAATTTGCTTATGAACTTTAAAAACAACGCCTTTCACTTTGTCTAGTGTGATAGTTAAAAGTGGGAGTAATGTTGAGATGAAAAAGAATGTCACTGGGAATCGAAGTAATTATACAATTTTTAGTGTCAAGTAACAATTGCGTGGAGTTCTATACAAGAAATTTGGTAATTAATAAGAAAGAAGTACACATCAATGTTTAGAAAATAGAAAAGGATCGATGATGGAAATAATTAAATAACTTACAAGGGGATTTCGATATACGTCTCTGAAAGGAAAGAAAAATTTGTGTCCCGAGCAGTTCGAGCAGGATTCGAACCCGAGTCTCCCCGCATACTAGTCGGGTGTGATATTCACCACACCATCGAGGCTATTCTGCGAGAAACTGATCGGTACTTAGAATTATTTTCCTGAAGCCACAACCAAAGAACCAATACTTACATAGAATTTCTTGTGCAGTTTACCAAAGTAAGGAAAACCGCTGGGACAATCCACACGAGTGTAAGTTCTTGTCGTTATCACACGAATCCAGATCAATAGAACGGAAATGAACCGCTTAGCTTGGAAAAAATAACAAGAAGAGATAACAATGTTAAAATACTACATGCATATTACTTACTATACAGGGTACACTAGAGAGTTACAATTATCTATTTATCATCTATGAGGTTGATAAAAGTAACTTGACTGTCTTGGTAAGTTTGCGAAGATTACGTTTCCGAGTGTAAGCCCTTCGTTAGAACACATACCCCCATAAAATGAGTTTCAAACTTGCATTTTATTCATTTCCCTTGTTTCAAGGTGAAAAACGTGCTATTGTATCGTTCCCTGGGGAATTTCTATCACGTTATTGTGTTCTGTCGTGTTTTGTATGTGTGCTAAAGTCTTTTGTTGTGTTTTGCTGTGTTTGTTTTGTTGTGTTTTGTAACTTGTTGTTTTGTTATTTTGTTTTATTGTGTTGTGTTTTGTTGTAATTTGTAATCTGTTTTTGTTGCTGTTTTTCTGTTGCTGAGTTTTGTTGCTTTCTTTTGTTGTGTTTTGTTTTGTTGTTGTGTTTTGTATTGTTGTGTTTTGTAATGTTTTGTTGTTTTGTGTTTTTTTTGTTTTGTTTTGTTTTGTTGTGTTTGTTGTGTTATGTTTAGTGGTGTTTTGTTCTGCTGCTGGTTCTTTGTTGTGTTTTGTTGTGTTGTGTTTGTTGTGTTATGTTTAGTGGTGTTTTGTTCTGCAGCTGGTTCTTTGTTGTGTTTTGTTTTGTTGTCTTTTGTAGAGTTTTGTTGTGTTTTGTAGTGTTTTGTTTTGTTGTGCTTTGTATTATTGTTTTTTGTCGTTGTTGTTGTTGTGTTTGTTTTGTGTTTGTGTTACCTCTGCATTTGCCGTTCTTCAGCTGGTAACCAGGTAGGCAGCGACATTCAGCTCCGCCTTCAAAATTGATGCACTCGGAATTCAAAGGACATATGGCCTGACCACTTGCACATTCGTCGATATCTGCCACGCGATAACAAGCAAACCAAGTCAAATGAACGTAAAAGATATTTTTACTAGTACTAAATGATACCAACTGTCAGTTGCTATGACCAAAGACTTCTCTAAATAAGAGATTAGAAGACAGCGAATTAACTGTGAGGAAATTTTTAAAAGCGCTGAAAAAAAAACTGTAACTTATCCCTACAAAGAAAATAGGGGAGATAAAAACGCTTTTGATCTACGCAGAATTCGAATCCATATTCTCTAATCTATGTTTTTCACTTAACAATATTCGATGTCTTCTTTTGCCCTTCCGACCTCAACCCCCCCACCCCACCCCCCCTCCAACCCCCTCCTCAACTCCACCTTTCAGAGAAAAAGCAAATTCTTACCTGTGCAATTCACTAGCACTCTTGGGGTTACACTGTCGTTGTAAAAAGGCTGAAAGCCACTTTTACATAAGCATTCAAAGCCAGGTCGCCTGTTTCTACAGTCTGAATTTTTTTCGATCCTGTGGCATATATGTGGATCCTCATCGCATTCGTTGATGTCTAAAAAAGGAATTGAAAAGAAAAGAAAGCAGCACAGGTCAGCTGTACTCAGCTTGATCTGCATCGCTGGCGGTTGCTTACTGTTCTGTGGAAATGTTCAAGTACCATTTGAAGCATAGCATATTGATTTCATCAACGTATACAAATTGACGAGTCACATCAAGTACAAGCAGGCGTTGTTTTGTTACAGTAAAGTGGTATTTGTCCATTTCCTTTAAAATGAAAAAACTATTTAAAGACTGTTCACTATTTTCGTCTTTTACCAATGGCTTAAGGCAGATGATTTTAATTATACTGTTCCCTTGTTTGTCGCATTATTTGCTTGCTAGTTTATTTTTTTTTCTTGGTTTGTGTGTTGGTAACAAAGTCAATCTTTCGACTGTAAGCTTAAGAGACTAGCCAAGTTATTGACAAGTGACGTTAAGCCTATTTACCTCTGCAGATGTAATATCGATTGTCATATCTGGACCCATTGGGACACATGCAGTAATACGATCCTTCCGTGTTGATACAATCAAATCCTCCAAAGAAACAGAAGTTGTCAAAGACGCTGTCGCATTCGTTAATATCTGTGAAAACAACAATGGAACAAAATGTTGAATGGCGTTCTAGCAGTATGGGAACAAATACCAGTTCCCCTCTAACCCAAATGTCTAGAGTCAGTCTCTTGCAGGCCATGAACAGGTCGCTGCACCCAACTTTGCCTTATCTCCAGAAGCGTACAAGCTGGGGGCGGGGGTGGGGGGGTCCTGCAGCCCCCCAGCGGAAATTGTATAATTTTTCGGGCAAAACGCTCATGATTCGGGCAACGACACTTGAGATAAAACATTACAAAATAATGCTGTTGGCGTGATTTCCAAAACTCGTAAATAGAGTTTCTAGTTAGTTACTTTTTATTAATCTCTGTGTTATTAGACGCTAGACCAAGAGTCTGCAGGCTGTCAACTGAGTTGTTTCTTCAGAGAGCTGGTAGTTTGAGTAGTATCAGGTAAAGTGTATCATTTGTATACGCTGCTGTTCTGAAGTATCGTTTCCGCACCGAAGACGCCACAGTAATCGGTGGACCTTAACCTTTCAGGCTCCCGACAAAAAATGCGCCCTCTTTTCTTGGTTTTTTAGGTTTCAAGGCCTTTAAGTTACTTTCTCTGACATTTGCTTTGCCAAAAAATTAAAAGGACAGACTGAAATTATATGAATGAGCTGGGGTTTTCTGTTAGATACAAGTCGGTTGAATGTGTATCGTGGAAATTCACAATAACGATATTTCTATTTCCAATTTTCCATCAACAAAACAAGGACACGAATCAAAGCGAACGAAGACCAAGACTTTTGTTTTTGTGGCGGCTCTCAAAAGGGCCGTTTGGAATGTTTTTTTTCTTTAGTTTTTTTCTTGAATTTTTCTAAGCAGGTGTTCCTCTGTTTCGTCCATGTTGTTTACCATCGCATTTACGGGACTAATGAATTCATAGAAGGCTTGCAGTGTATGCTGCAAGTCTCCTGTCGCCAAAACAAGACTATTTCGAAGGACGTCTAGCAATGCCTCATGTTGTTCTTTGAGTATATTGAGAAGCTCGTCTTGAATAAACACGTCCAAACGGTCCTTCTTGAAACACAAATGTCTCCGTATTGAGCGCGACTAAGGCAATAAAGTCATTGTGAACAGTACGGACAAGATATTAATTAAATCGGACAGAACCATGGAAGGGGAGACCTTTTCTTTTAATACGATTTAGATTTCACTAGACCGAGACTGTTGATAGAGGTCACTGAGAATGTAAACTCTGAAATATTACTATTTTCTGGAATTACAGCAGTTTTATTTGTTAAGAACGTTTTTGTTTTTCATGCAATTTGAGTGCGTTTGCATCGCGATTTCAATGCTCACGCATTCGGGCAGTACGTAATTTTTTCGGGCAAGAAGGTCATCGCCCTCGCCCCCCCCGTCCCCCCACCCCTCCCCCAAAGTCCGAAGGTGCCCTTACGCCTATGCTTATCTCTGCCCCGAAGCGATTACAAGGAGGATAAACAAACGAACGAAAAAATAAAAAAAAATTATAATAAATGAAGGAACGAACGAACGAACGAGCGATCAAATGATAAAATGGGTGAATTAATAATAAAGGAACGAGCAAACGAACAAAAAAATTGGATAAATTGTTAATCGAAAGAAGGAAGGAAGGTAGGAAGGAAGGAAGGAAAGAAGGAAGGAAGGAAGGAAGGAAAGAAGGAAGGAAGGAAGGAAGGANGATTACAAGGAGGATAAACAAACGAACGAAAAAATAAAAAAAAAAATTATAATAAATGAAGGAACGAACGAACGAACGAGCGATCAAATGATAAAATGGGTGAATTAATAATAAAGGAACAAGCAAACGAACAAAAAAAGTGGATAAATTGTTAATCGAAAGAAGGAAGGAAGGTAGGAAGGAAGGAAAGAAGGAAGGAAGGAAGGAAAGAAGGAAGGAAGGAAGGAAGGAAGGTAGGAAGGAAGGGAAGAAGGAAGGAGGGAAGGAAAGAAGGAAGGAAGGAAGGAAAGAAGGAAGGAAGGAAGGAAGGAAAGAAGGAAGGAAGGAAGGAAGGATGGAAGAAGAAGTGACGCTGAAAATTTTACCGTGTTTAAATAAATTAAGTATGTCTGTAATGTATGTAAGTATGTAAGGAAGGGAACAAGAAATGCTGCAAATTAAAATTGAAATAACTTACCATCACAAGTGTTACTTGTAGCATTGTGTCTATATCCCACTCCGCATATACACTGGTATGAACCAGGGGTGTTTCTGCAATATGCATTCCTTGGACACATTGCTAGCTGTTCTTGGCATTCGTTAATATCTAAAATATAAACAAATATGACACATTAGAAGATTAAACACTTCAAGAAATAAATCAAGAGAGCCTTTCATGTTAGTTAACTAAACCTTCTCCTAGTTTTCAAATGACTACTCCAAACACTAAACACAGAAATAAAAAACCAATTCGCTTGAAATATTGATCCAGTCATATTCCACACTCTCGTCAAAATAGTACTTAAACCTGAAAATAGTATTTTTTTTTTCCTTTGTTTTTGTTTTGTTGTTGTCGTTGTCCTTTGGATATGAGCTAACGACTCAATCGGTTAACCAAATTGATAATCCATCACCGTACCCCGGGTGTGCGCCTTCTGCACCCCCCTCCTCTGCTCGGCAACTTACCATCACAATATCTCCCGCGGTATCCCCTCGGGGGACAGTGGCACTCATAGGTTCCAGGAAGGTTACTGCAGTGTGAATTACGGTGGCATCTGTCTTGCTTCCGGTCACACTCGTCCACATCTGTTTGAAAGGGAGACAGTCAAACAAGGCTAATCCAGGATTACTCTACGAATGCAATTAGTTGCAAGTTATGAAAAATCACTATGCTCGCTTTTTTTCTTTTACTCGATTTCTCTGTCCTATGTCTTTGTTCTCAATGCGCAATTTCTTCAGTTTTTCTCTCCAAAGCGAGATGCCTGACATCGTGGTTTTTTTAAGAAATTCCCGCTCAAATCGCGGTTCACAATTGGATGAACTCAGTGATAGGTTAACAATGCGGACGGTAACAATATCAAATCAGAGAAACTTTCGAAACTTACCATTTTCTTCCAGATAGATAATCTTATTGATGATCCAAATCAGTGGGCGACGGAAGATGATAAACTTTTGTTCCGAGATCTCTCCATTTAGATAAAACAGCCTCTCCAAGTCGAAGAGTGTATACTTCTGCAGAATTTGTAAGCGAGATGAGTCGAAGGAATAATGAAGTCCACGGATAGTGAAAATATAATGTATATCGAGGCGCATAATTCGAGTGATGAACTGTTCAATTGTTAACTTGTAAACAAAGGTAATGGAAACGCCATTGATCTGAACCACAAACGCTAATGTCTTCTGAGTTACCACTTCACTTAAGTCCAGCACGGTGTGTCTAGTGATGTTCAGGAATGTGTCGAGCTCGCACAATGATAGACTTGAGAGAGGAACTTTGATTTCCAGTGAATTTTTCAGGAAATCTTGGCTCACGCCTAGCATGTGACTCATGACTTCAAATGTGCGAACTATCAGCAGTTTTCGGATCACCACGTGAAACTCTTTCACGGTCAAGTTGTGCGACAGCGCTGCCTCAGTTTTGTTCAATTTTTCGGCGACGTCGGACAGGGTCATATTCAGGTTAGTTGCATAACGTATCAAGGTAAATCTCGCGCATAAGACTTCAATCCTCAGGGGACTTAACTCGTTAATTTCAAATTCAGTCAAGTTGAAAGCTTGGATTAATTCTTCAATATTAACACTGTATGACATAAGAATCTCGTGTACAGCTCTTCTAATCTCCACTTTCGTTTCGCCATTAATGACAGTAATTTCCTTCTTTGTTTTCACGATGAACAATACAAGCTGTGGATAAACTTTGTAATCTCGAAACTCCGTAACTGTCATATTCACCAGTTCCGCGAATTCTTCCAAGGTGGTGTTCAGCAGTTCCAGGTCCTCTCGCTTCGCGCCTATTAAAAACCCTCTTAAGTAACGCAATCTCATAGGAACCTTCGTCAATACCAGATCCAAAACATTTGTCACGTTAACCACTTCTTGTGTAATCTCGTACCAGGTAACATGCAGAGAATCCCGAACTTCTCGAATCTTCATTTGTAAGCCACGGAAAAATATTTCGCCAGCGAAAGAGATCTTCAATAACTGGAGGAATGTATAATGTTTGAGATCGTCTGGATGTCGCACATCCAAAATGGCCGCCAGTTCCTCTGTGGTGCGGTTGAGAAGGTCAAACGAGTGCGCAGTGACTGTTTCCAAGATTGCAGCAAGTAAATTTATGTCGGTGTTATTAATAGGAAGTAAGAGCAGCTCGAGAATTCTTATTTCGGTCAGACTGACGTTGTATGACAGAGCCAGTTCCTCGAGAGTTTCGTTACCATTTAAGCCAAATGTAGAAATATGGGAACGCGCAGTAATGATTAACCGTAAAACCTCATCGATCTCAGGGACGAACAGGCCACGGAAGGCGTCATCGAAAGTTA